TTACCTATCGTAGTACTCTGACCCCTCCTCCAGACCAGGCAGGACTCCAGTCAGTAAACCCTGCAGGCCCGGTTTCAGGGTCTTTCCCAGGGGCAGATAGTAGGTCTCATAGAGCCCCAGCAGCACAGGCTTCACAGACATAGCAGCATTGGAGAGTAAAGGGAAGAGCCCAGAGCTGCAGGCAGAAGGAAAACACAGCAGCTGTAAACGTCTGAAACACATGTGGTGTGTTGGCTCCAGCTCTGCTGTACCTGTACAGGAAAAGGTCTTTGGCCAGCCTCTTGGGCCCAATGATCTTGAAGATGATCTCGTAGGTCTCCAAGGCCTTGCGATGCACCCCGCTGGGCAGGGCAGGGTGGAGGCACTGGGCCAGGCGTTTGCCTATTGTCAGCTTCTTGGGAACAACTTGATATTTTGCATTGTTCTGCAAAACCTAAGAAAAGCACCAGATAAATGATTAGGCTCTTACAAGAAGCATCAACGACATCAATCTTCTCCTACTCCTACCTTGTTAAGTTTGCCCAGTGCAGAGATGAGATCAGCCCACTCGCTGGAGTACTCAAAGTTCTTGAGGGCTTTGTCCACGGCTGCCACATAGTTCCTGTATTTGGAGTCACTGAGCAGCTCCACTTCCTCTGCATTCATTCTCCTGGCGGGTTGGAACTAATGTGCAACACCGGTCATACAGAAGAGCACCACCCCTGCAGCAGAATTAGGATTAAACGAACAGATGAGAACTATGTATGTATGTATGTATGTATGTATGTATGTATGTATGTATGTATGTATGAGAACTACATGAAGCTCGAAGCTATCGAACAAAACCTGGGTGAGGCAGTGTCCCATTTCTTCAGACTGAGCCACAAGAACCAAGAGCTCCAGCAGCAAACACGAGTAGCCAGCTGTTTACACGGCCCTACAAAACTCAGTTCTGTCGACGGCTTTTCTGTTTTTATTGAAGACGTTTTATGATCATCACAAACAAAAACTGAAAAGTAAAAAAAAGTAAACTGAGAAATAAAATATTAAATGGATTTAGCAAGGCTGTAAAGCTAAACTGCCTGCAAATGACAAAAGATGACAACAAGATGTTGCCGTTTTTTCTCCTGAAACACAAGAGAGTAACTTTTAAATAATAATAAGAAAAATTCATTCTCACTCACTGAGTTCACAGAAATAAAGAGAACAAATCCACGACTGATCTCTGCTCTCTGAACCACGGTTATAATCTCAGTTTATCATCCTACACTAATCCTCTCTCACTCACACACACACACATGGTTTGGCTTACCATAAGTCTAACATGCAGCTCAGCAAAGAACAGTTTGATTTTTGAAGTTATTCATGTCTTCAATAATTCTAGATGGATCTGAACTAGTACCGGTATTTAAAACTGAATTCTTCCAGTGTGCCATCTAAAATCACTTCAGATACACATTCTGTGCCACGTAAATAAATCATTAAGTCACTATGGAAACAGCGGTCATTAAACAATGATGTTTTTTAGAGGTGTAGAAAGTGATCCATTCACGTCGGAGAATCGAGACTCTTATGAAGACAGATTCTGAATCGATTCAAAATGTCCAAGTTTCATTCCTTGAGAAGGCATTTTCCAAACTTTTCCTAGCTTATCGGATGCTCGTACTGTTTGTCAGCAGCTTCCGTACCGCATCAGTCTAGTGACTCCATCACACACAGTTCATTGCATCACAGACACCTGGCAGACTTCTAACTTACAGAAGAAAGTAGTTCAACCTGGAATTGACTTGAATCGAGATTTGATTCTGAATTGGACCTTCACCCCGAGAATCGGAAACAAACTGAATCCTGAGTTGCTGTAAGATTCACAAACCCCTAATATTTTATGCAGATATAGAAATTTACATCTGAAGTAAAGAAAATATGACTCTGAATTATAAATCGATTCTTTAAAAATAATAACAGAATAATTTTAATTCAAGAGTTTGGGGCATATACATGTAACATCATCATTATAGCTTTTGTGGTCAGAATGTTGAACCAAACCATCAGCACTGAATTTCTAGCCCCCTCTGGTGGACGAACAGCGAACTGCAGCACCGTTTCTGACTCACCCATTACTTTATTACTCGGTGCTGCTTACATGCATCACGCACACAGAAACTACCCAGAATTCCTCTACCGTGATGAGCTGTGCTGCTGAAATGATCCATGAGATGATTGACCACCATGCTTTCATAAAAGAAGTAACCAGATTCTGAAAGGTTGTTTGTTGGTGACAAAAAACTAAAATTGACCAACTCTGAATAAGTCACCTTCATCATCTGTCTAATGTAGCATGTCTAGTGTCCTTGTTCTAATGGTCTGTATTTGCATAGTTCCTTCTTAGGGTTCTACAACCCTCCAAGGCACGTCACAACACAAGCAGTCATTCACAGGCTGGTGGGGATGAGCTACGATGTAGCCACAGCTGCCCTGGGGCACACTGACAAGGCAAGGCAGGTTAAGTGTCTTGCCTAAGGACACAACAGCAGCATTCTCTGCTCGGAGCCAGGATCGAACCTGCAACCTTCTGATTACTGGACAACCCGCTCCATCTCCTGAGCTACTGTTCTTAGCTCATGACTGTTTACTGGTGGTGGGGCTGGGCAATAAATTTTCCACCTTCGGAATATTGCTAAGATTAGAAGCATCCTTTCCATGAGTGATGCTGAAAAACTAGTTCATGCATGTATTAAGACTGGATTACTGTAATTCATTACTCTCAGGAAGTCCACAGAATGTAGTTAAAATTCTTCAGCTTGTCCAAAATGCTGCAGCTAGAGTTCTGATGAGAATTAAAAAGAGAGATCATATCTCTCCTGTCTTAGCTTCCTTACATTGGCTGTCTGTTAAAGTCAGAATAGATTTTAAGATCCTCCTTCTCACATATAAAGCTCTTAATAACCAAGCTCCATCCTTACATCAGTGACCTGATTGTTCCATATGTTCCTAACCGAGCACTTCGCTCTCAGACTGCAGGTTTACTGGTGGTTCCCAGAATATATAAAAATAGGATGAAAATAGGATGGGAGGCAGATCTTTTAGCTATCAGGCTCCTCTCTTGTGGAACCAACTCCCAGCTTTAGTCCGTGAGGCAGACACCTTGTCTACTTTTAAGACTAGGCTTAAAACGGAACTGCGCTGCTCTGGGTGGCTGCATGTTGGAGTAGCTCTGTTGACTATATGTAAGTTTTGCCTTTTCTTGGACATTTTTTCTTCTAGTTTCTCAAGAAAAGCGGTATTTTTTGGACACTTTACTTTTCTGTTTCTGGTGCTGTGAAGCTTGGAGGATTTTTACTGCTATTTTTTAGCTTTCTTCACTTTTTGAGCATTTGTTATGATACGTAACCATGGCAACAAGCTGTTTACAATCGGGAGCAGCTGATTAACATTGGAAAGGCTGAAATAATACCTCAACTGAAGCCACAAATCCCAAATGAGCTAAAACGCAAGAAGCGTGGGTGCAGAGCGGGAGCAAAACGGAGACAGAGAAAGAGGAAATTCAAACCATCTCTTCCATCGATCATAATGGGCAATGTGAGATCACTGGCCAACAAGATGGAGGAACTCCAAGCCCTTTCAAGGACTCAGCCAGAGTTTCGGCAGTTTTGGAACCACTGGAGGAGATAATGCAAAGAAGGATTCTCCAGAGAATCAAGAAAATGATGGACAACCCTGAGCATTCTCTTCACAAGACTGTCCGACAACGGAAGAGTGTCTTCAGTCAGAGGCTTCTTCAGTTTCGCTGCAACACTGACCGCTACTGGAGCTCCTTCCTGCTAACAGCCATTGTAATATACAATAACTCTTTGATTACTTGATTTTTATTATTATTCTGAGCTACCACAGCAATCAATTTCCCTCTGGGATTAATAAAGTATTTTTGAATTGAATTGATTTGAAAACATTTTTATTTGATAGGGCCTATGGTTAAAATCTGATGTTAGCCCAGATCTGGACAAGTGGGGGAATAGAGGGAGGTGGAGTGTACAGTCGGTAAAGACGGCTCTCCCTTGCCCTGCCTCCAACATGCCTCCATCTAAAAGGTTAGGTTATCTCTGTAGTTATGCTGTTATAGGCTTAGACTGCTGGAGGACATATTGACCACTTTCCACACTCGACTACTTTCTTCTACAATCTGCTCTTTAACTGCATTATTTCCTGCTATTTCAGCTGTAAACTTAATTTTTTCTCTAAGTGTTTTTCTCCCCAGAAGATGCTACAATGATGTTATGCTGAGCTGTGCTGGCCTCATGGAGGGGGCCATTGGCTTGAACACTGTTGCTAACCACTTAAACATTCTCCCTCTCCAGATAATAACACTTTACTTTCTTCGACGTTGGATGTACTACTGCTAGTTCACCCGTTTAATTATAGATTCACTAGGATAAATACAATAAAGTTTATCTCTCACCAAATTGAATATTTACTAAGAAATCACAATGTAACCATAGAAACATTACTTGGTATATATGTTGTGTGTGTTTGTGTGTGTGGGTGGGTTGGTGTTGGTGTGTGTGTCTGCTCTGTCTTCTCAATCCCCAGTGAGTCATGGTGGATGGCTGCTTATAATGAGCCAGGATTCTCTGGAGGTTTCTTCCTGTTAAAAGGGAGTTTTCCTCTCCACTGTCACTAAATGCTTGCTTAGTATGAGGATTGATGTAAAGTCACTGACACTAGTCAATTTGCTGGGTTTCTTATATAGGAAACTTTTACTGACTGGCTTAATGAACTGACCTGTGTTGGAATGTTTACCATGTGAAGTGCCTTGAGACGACTCTTGTCGTGATTTGGCGCTATATAAATAAACTTGAATTGATTTGAGTTTAATTAAATAAAAAATGTATCTTTTTCGAAATTTCTGACCCTTATCGAGATCATTATTCCCATGACAATAAATTTGACAAAAAATGAAAAGATGTGTGAAGGTTGGCAGCGTTCATGTCCCATTAAGAGGCTGTACCACCTTGAGTCTCAACTTAATACATGTGACAGCCCAATCTAGTGTTTATGTTGATTTATTTGGAAGACGCTTTTATCCAAAGCGACTTACAATTTATAACCTATAGGGCATGTTGTGATCTGTGGGGGAAACCGGAGTACCATGGGGAGAACACGCAACTCCACGCAGAAAGGCCACAGCCGAGTCTCGTACCTGCAACCTTCGTGCTGCGAGGCAACAGTGCCAACTGCGCCACCATGCAGTGGAAAACTTTTGTTTCTGCGCATACCTGTAGTTATCGTCCATTTATCGTTATCGAGGTGTAATCCTCAATATATCATGATATTTACTTTAGGCCATATCGCCCAGCCCTAACTGGTGTTGCCTTCAAGGTGTCTGGGTTCATCAGATGGTTAGTTTTGGTCTCTGTCTGCCTTTTGATCACTTTAAAGCCGCTGATCCTTTGCTCTGAAAACAACTCTTAGTTTTGTGGTTCCTAAACAAGATTTTATCTCCTGATACTTAATGATTCAGCAACCTGTGACCTAGGGCTGGATGATATCGATTCTCTGCTGATTTAGTGAACGACTTGTTTGTATCAGACTTGTAAAACTCTATATATTGCCATTCTGATCAACTACTGTAACCTTATCGGGACAAATTTCCCCACCTCTTCTTGCTGTGACATCATGTTTAAATCACATGCTCTTGACCCAACCATTTTGGTTTGAGAGGGGAGGGGATGGTGATGGGAGCGTGCTTAGGTCCCTGTCATTGGTTGGTTGAGAGTAATTAATGACTCTAGTATTAAACTACTTGAAAGGCTATAACGAAAAAGGAACCTTTTAATTGACATTTTTATTAATCCTTTTTTACTGTTGCACCACACGCCTATGGACAGGTAAATGTTGTTCTTGATTTGTTGTCCAGCCTACAGTGACTCCAATAGCTTGCTTAAATACAATAAAAATAACAAAAGTAAAATAAACTCTTGATAATGGGGTGACAGTGGCACAGGAGTTAAGTGCTTGCCCTGTAATCGGAAGGTTGCAGGTTCGAGCCCCCAATCAGTTTGTCGCTGTCATCGTGTCTTTGGGCAAGACACTTAACCCACCTTGCCGATGGTGGTCAGAAGGACCGGTGGTGCCAGTACTTGGCAGCCTCGCCTTTGTCAGTGCGCCCCAGGGCAGCTGTGGCTACATCGTAGCTCATCCCCACCAGCGTGCGAATGGGTGAATGACTGATTGTGTTGTAAAGTGCCTTGGGGGGTTCCAGGACTCTAGAAGGTGCTATATCAAATACAGGCCATTTACCACATTCTTGTTAAACAAAGGTACACCATAAACAACCAACTTCCTCACCAAAAATCTGTTATCGCTAGAATGAATTATAACTCAGTCAGGGTGAATAAACAGGCAGGAAGAAATGTTTATTTTTTAAGTTATTTATTTATTTATTGTTTTGCTGCTTAGCTGGGTTGTCTTAACAGACTGAGACGTGTTTTCGTTTTAAATCAGCGGATCAGTGATCAAGTTACTTTACTGGTCATCTCCAATCACCAGCAGGCGGTTTCATTCACTTTATCAGTCACTTGTAACTACTGTTTATATATCTTGTCACAATGACTGCAAAGCCACAATTAAGGCCCTTCACTTGACCCTTCCTGACCCCGACTGTGGGGACCACTGATGTAAAGATGCTGCTGATCAGTGTGTGAAACGGTCAGACCAGCCAGTCTGGCGCATTTCGTCTACCCTCCTCGAATAGTTTAATGTTTTCTGGCAAACAAATGACCTCACTCGAGATCTTTTTATAGCTGTAACAGAGAAACACGAACGAGGATTCAGCCACGTGATTGGCTGATTTAAACAGGTGTATCCAGTAAAGATGCTGGATACAGCTAGCTTTAATGTTGATTCCGGTGTGTGTGTGACAGTCAACAACTCCGAGTTTTATTAGTGCGTGTGTGGGGAAAACACGACTAAACCTTTAAAAAGAATCATTGTGTGTGGGTTTTTTATTGCTGACCCAAACCTCGTTTATATCCGAGTACTGCTAACAGTTACCTGCTGCCTTCACCGGCTGGGTGATTTTATTTGTTATGAAACGAGGAAATTAAAATTCTTACCGTTAGAAAACAAAAACTGCCATTCAATCATATATCCAGTTCGATGAGTAAAAAACAGCTGACAGCGTCAGGAAAGCTAGCTGTTTAGCGGAATGTTTAAAGATGGGGCCCGCTCCGGTGTCAGGTCGTTAAAAGCTTCCAGGTAGCCCGTGAAGTACGCTTTGATCGCGACGGAGAGGAAATTACATCCTACACGTTCTTATCTATCTTCCAACAGTCCCGCGGTGCGTGAATGATCGGTAAACACAGAGTGGCTGCCATCGCCAGCGGCACAATGCTAAAGGACTGACAGCTCCCAGACTGCACTGCAGATTAGCCGCACGTCCGACTGTCTTCCGTGTGGACGTCTTCCACCTCATAGATCCACCTATCCGCTGCTGCTGTGGAACCAGCCGACAAAAAACACCGGAAACAGAATCGTTGCCTTCAAAATAAAAGCACAACGTGCTGCAGGGTTGAAGTTGGGCATTTAACATTTTACTTTCTTTGACATGTTATGTGCTACTACTAATTCACCTGTTGGATTAATATCTCACAATTAGAGCTATTTAATCTACACATGAGTTTGTGCATGGGGTTCCTCCAAATCCTGGTATATTGCGCTGGTTTAATATCTCTGTGAGTAGTACCAAGCGTCTTGAGGGCACTAAGAGCCACCAACAAGGTTTTGAGCAATATCTCGGATGGCATGGATACCTAGGGATCTCAAATCATACATGTTGATTAATTCACAGAAACTCAAATCCAGCATTTCAAGCACAAATCAGAATCTGTCTCATTAACAACTTTCAGACAGTCAAACAATTATTTGAAATATTTTTACATTCGTTGCTGCTTTGTCTATAAAAGTTTGAGAACATGGACGTAGTTTGAGGGGGGCAGGAGGAACACGTGCCCCCCACTTTTTTCAAAGTCGCTTTTTGTCCCCTGCACGTTTTACCATCTAAAACCAATATTACGCTGTATTAAATAGACACTGGTTTAGCACTAGGACCAAGCAGAAAACAACCGCTTATGTTGAAGCCTGTTTCCTGTTAGAACCATCCATAATATTGTCTCTGCTGATACTTGCTAATGTGTGATTGTACTTGACAGTTCTGCATTGCTGACATTGTATGAAAGAGCCTCTTGTCTAGGCTGTAGTTTTAAACATAGTTCTTGAATACTTACTGTAACGATTGGGATTGGGCCGTATGTCTGTGTGAACGCATGCGTCCTTCTCCATATCTTTTCACTAGGATGCCTTAACTGGTCAGATGAACCAAGCTCTGAGTAGTCTCCCAAGATCAAAGTCACATACCGTATTTACCACAAGATTTAAAATTCTAGGGTGTTAACAAAAAATCTCAATTTCAATAAACCGTTAAAAAAAGCTACAAAAACACACATTTAAAAAAATGCATTTAAAATTATATTTAAAGAGTAAATAAATAAAACCATGTTCAATGCCTCCATAAGAAAATTTAATTTCTAAATTCATTTTAAAAGACGGTTTAATCTGTGTTAAAACGGTTAAAACTCAACCAAACCCATCATTTAACACAAGCACACAGCGCCTATTTCAGGCACAACTTTAAAGCCTCAGTTTATTTTAAAGTGCACATACACATGAGATATAAACAGTGGTGCCAAGACACAATACTTACAGTAAAATAAATAGCTTTAGTCAAACAGAGAGAACAGGATAGAGAACAGGTGAGTGAGATTTAAGAGAACTGGCATTTCACAATAAGGGTCAGTTTATTCCACAGCCTGGGAACAATGACAGAATAAACTCTGTCTTCTCTAAGTTTCCTCCTGCTCCTTCTTCATTCTAATGTTAATACTCCCAAGAAATCAAAATTAAAGATTATGATTTTTTTCAGCTTTATTGACATATAGAGGCTAACATATATATTTTTATGCCACTGCACTCTTGTGTTTGTTGTGTACTATCCTGTCATGTCTTTGTGTCCTGTTCGCGCATGGGATAGTGAGAAACGTAATTTGGAGTCCTTTGTTTGTCAAGTGCGAATGTAGAATTCGACAATAAAACCCCTCTTAATCTCCTAATCTGATTCTAAAATGTTCTCTTTTAAACAACAGGACCAAAGTGTAACTCCAGCTTGTCGCCGCTGGAGGGCATTAAATCGCCATCTCCCCTTTCCTTATTTCTCAAGAGGATATTGCACCTAGCCCAGAGAACTAGACAAAATTCTTGCCTTGCAAAGTTTATAAAGTAATATAACATAGTTATTTAGTCTGGTTTGCCGGGTTACATTGCATCTGCAGCAAGCGTGAATCTGCGGTCTATGGTGTTTGATGCTAAAGCTATTCCTTTATTATCCAAGATTCATTCCATACTTTCCCATAAAACGATTGTGGTTCAAACAAACTCAGCCAGTTCATGCCTATTTGAAAACACAAGTGCATTCATATAAAGTAAACAAAAACGTTTTCTTAACCGACTATAAACAGAGATCCAAGTTAGTAAAAAAAATATAAATATGGTCAACAAAACTAGCAGTTTTGCTCTTATTTTGGAATGTCTAACCGGATGTTGTCGTAGTACCAGCACACTTGATACGTGTGTTATCACGCTGAGCTAGAACCTCATTCGATTGACTTCACGTTTGGTTTCAGTTTTTTTATATTATTCTGAGCTTCCCATCTATAGACAGCTTAATTTAAAGGTTTATTATTTAATGTTCCCCCATTTTCATGAGCGTCCCGTTAGCTTAATGGCAGAGGAAAACTCACCAAAGACACGTGGAGGAGTCTTCTTAGAGCTGAGGAAAATACTTCAAAGTGGACTTCTCATTGTCGGGTAAATAACGAGATACTTTCACATAAAAAACACAGAACAACCTAACGTTTCCTGATTTGTCGTTTAGTTTATCTGTCAAAGCTAGCGTAGCTATTAGCATTAGCTTGACACGATCAAAACAAAGCAGATGATGCCTTGAGTACCACATCCGGCTTGTTTTTAAACTAGAAAAAGACAAGAACCAAGTCGTTGCTTATCGAGTATCGGATTGAAATCCAGATGAGACCTTGGTCCGGAACTAAAACTTAATTCTCTTAAATCTTCATCAACAGAAACATTGTAAATAAAGCGAAAACATTCAGGAGACAAGTGTTTAGAAATGATGCTGTTTCAGGTATTTCTAGGCCCTCATAAGTCCTTGCATTTCTTTAATTGGGTATTTTCGAGAGTTTAAAGATGGTGGTGGCATAATAGATTCAGTTGAAGTCCACCCTGGTGAAATGACATCCCCATGGACAGTGAGCTGCAGCTGTGGCTGCGCTCGGGAACTATTTGGTGGTTTAAATTTGCACTGATAATTTTTAATGCTCCAGCCTTCTTCTTCTACTTCACTTATGTTATTTTTGTAAGACAATGTGAAATAACAGTTTTGAGTCTATATTTGCTGTTCAAGTAGAATTAATCACTAATAAAATCTGAAGTACACCTTTCCCTTTTGCGTCAAATCTCATAATGGAGGAACCAGACAGAGCCACTGGTTTAGTGTGAATGACACCTGGGTGGCTAGCTAGGTCAGGATTCAAACACATACTTACTCGGGGGATATCGAGGACACCAAAGACGACAAGCCTTCTGGACTGTCTGGTGAACATTAGGAGAGATTACTATAGAAGTTTACAAAAAGCTCTTCACACATAGATCTGAATCTACATTTTGAATCTCACCACCCACTAGAACATAAATTGCCACTCAAGTGAAAGAAAGTTAGAAAGAAAACAATCTTTTATATAACGCCTCTGAAGATCAATATCACAAGGTGCTTCATAAGAACAAAACATGTAAAATATAGAAAAATCTAAAAAATAGAATAAGAAATGTAGTTAAAATTAGAAAAAGAAATACAAATTGTGATTAAAAATGTAAGGAAAGGAAATGAGAAAATAAATAGGATAGAGGAAATGGGTGGATCCTGGGAACTGTGGAATTGGTAGAGAGAGCAGAATAAGGAAAGGGTGATGATGAAGGTCACACAAAGCCAGCTTGAACAGGTGAGTTTTCTGCTACTTTTTGAAGGAGACAACTGAGTCCACTGATCTCAGGCTCAGGGGGAGAGAGTTTTAGAGTCTGGAGACCAGAATAGAAAGGTAGAAGCATGCTTAGCAGCATCATGGATGCATAACTGTAAAGGTGCAGTAAGAAAGAATATATTAATAATTTTACAGTGAGAAAATCCTAAAAGAGTTTGTGTTTCAGTCATTTAGGAAGGCAGATTATACTGAAACATATTCCATATCCAGCTGGCTACGTGGTATTGTCAGTTTTTCTCTTTCAAAAGAAACGAAGGAGGGACGTAATTACTGTTTACCATCAGTGAGTGTGGGGTTGCCGTGGCTTCTACAAGCTAATACTGGCAAAAAGCCCCAGAGTTGTTTAAAGTTGTTGCAGTAACCAAATTTTACCTCAGGCTGTCATTTTTACTTAATTTCAACATAATGCACCATTAATGGCCTCATTAGTGTTTCCTTCCAAAACTTCTAACCTGGAACTCCCTGTGATCAGAACTGAAGAAACCTGAGTGGGGAAGTGTTCCCAGTAGGACTGAACGATTAACTGCTTATGCATAGCGATGTGACAAAAGGAGATTTTCTAAACACAAAGGCTGCAATTTGACTGGCAGCGAGTGGTTAGCACAATGCTAATATACATGGAAAACCCCATAGGGATGCTAATGCTAACATCACCTATTACATTCTTACAAATTACGAATTATGAACATGCCTTTGTTTGCGTTCGTTAGTTGAAAAATATGAGAAAAGCCCCTTGAGAAAATAATTCTGAATTAAATTGCAATTGCACAATTGAAGAAAATAAATCACAATTGGATTACTTTCCAGAATCGTTCAGCCCAAGTTCCCAGCATGCAGAAATGTCAGATTGTATAATAGGAGATGCTTTACCACAGGCAGCAAAGATAACACAACATGTGTTCAAAATATTAATTTTGTTTTGCAGTTTAATGAAAAACTGAATGTCTTTTAGATGTTTTTGATATAATTAAATTAGTAAAACTAATCTCTGTACTTTTGGCACATTTCAGAGATGAAACTGAAGATCTCACAGGTATCCGTGAGCCAGACTGAGGAAGTGCAAAATCCATAGAGGCATGTTAATAAATGGGTGCAGAAATGTGATTCATGCAGTGCAATGCAAGAATCACTAGATGGTGTCAGTAAGGTTTGGGAAATCTTTTGCAAACTCAGATAAATATCTAAAATGAAAACATTTTATTCTGTGTTTCCATGAATATATAGTTCTCTTTTGTCTTATTGTTTAAACGACTCTGCCCAGAGTCATAAAGACACCGATTCCGTCTTATTGATAATGGTGCTGGATGAGACTGTAACTAATTACTAATCCATACACATAATCCATAGATGATGATGGACAAATGTGTTTCTGTACTTTACGTGATGAGTAGAAAACTCACAAGCAAAATGAAAATCAATTGGCTTTCAATGGTCAGTAAAAGGATTTAAATTTGATGACATTGGGGTCAACAGATGGAGATGTCTGAAGACAATGTTCTTGTCTTGTTGATGGTTTAAAAAAAATCATCGATTAGCTGCTTAGTACTTTTTGGTATGTAAATGCTAAACTAAATTTAGTTATTGTGCTGATCATAACACCTCACAAGTCTGTGTTTCTCACCGTTATGGATTTCAACGTGTTTCTGAAAAAGTAGTTTCCGTAGATTTCATCCTGCAACAACATTTATTTTGAAATGTCATATCTGTTCTCCAGGAAAGATGTGGCCAGAGGTCCTGCAGATGTGGTAGTGACAGCCGGAGAGTCCTCGCTCCTCGTCCAGACTCCCAGAGGAGACGTAAGCCTGACTTTACCAGCAGGAGTCTCCTTTGAGCCGGGCTCCTGCATCCACACACCTGGAGGAGAACACGGTGGGGAGGAGCTGCACTTCAGGCTGCGTATTGCTGTTGGGAGGAGAAGCTCTGATGAAGGTAATGTCTGTGCTAAGACAACAGATTCTCTTTGTCAGCTCTGAATTCATTAGCCTGATAGTGAACTGCTCACTAATTATCAACCATTAGAGACGTCACTTCTAAATAAACTGTCTGAGGTTCTTACTTGATGTCCCTGAATCCACGTTTCTTTTTGCTGCACACTAAAGTTTGAGGAATTGGATTGACTACTCACTCCGTAGCTGACACACACACACACACACACGCACGCACACGCACACACATGCACACGCACACACACACACGTCACTGCGGATTTCATCGACTTTGTGCTCAGTAGCAGAGCGTTAGCATCCTTTAACCACATTTTCCTCATTTGTTTATTTTGCATTCCCCCCACAGAGGCCCCTGACAGTGTGATGGAGAATCTTCGATTAAAAGAGACCTACTGCTTCTGCTGCCAGGGCTGCATGACCAGGCTGCTGGAGGACAGGTAGGGAACAGACGGGACGATGAGACAGCTTTTTTATTTACACCCACCTCCGCAGGAAGAGCAGCGACTCCCTAATGATTGTGTGAGCCGCTGGTAAGAAGCGGTCGTCTGAAAGAGGAACATTGATGGATGGCTCCTCAGGGGAGTCCACTGTTGTTAGGCTGACTGGGTGCATCTAGAGCACGCGCGCGTGTGTGTGTGTGTGTGTGTGTGTGTGTGTGTGTGTGTGTGTGTGTGTGTGTGAGTGACGTAAACGTCTGCTCTGTCCATTAAAAACACTGTTTCCTACCTGAGGTGGTTCTGATGGGCTCTGGTCAGCAGTGTGACAGGCATGCTGGAATTTGCAGCAGCTGCATTATGGAGACCCTCTGGCAGTGTTCCTCAGCTGCAACACTCAAAAGTGGCTAAAATATATATTTTCAACAAAGTCCATGAGAAATATGAGTTGTGTTTCAGTTTCTCACAACCAACTCCAAACGTTGGTGACTTTTCTAAGATGTCCTGCTGTTGCTCTGGGATGGAAGCACTGACTTCTGTCAGAATATTCATGCCAGCAAAGGAGAAATTGACGTTTGCTTTGCAGGAGAAGAAAAAAAGCCCAAATGATGATTCGCAGTAAAAACCAGACATGGTCCTAAGGCTACCATAAATGATCCTCTTCTCTTGAGAGAATTTAGGTCCTTTCAGCTGGTTGTTGTGGTTTTAGAGCTCCAGTCTCAAGGTTTAGTCTGTCCACACAACGAATATGTTATAAACAACACGTCAGACTTTTTATTGTCAATCTTCAGGATTGCTGCAGGAGGAAACCGGGATTTATGGGTGTCGAAGAAGGAAGACAAAAGAAAGTAAATCAGTGTTTTATCTGTTTAATTTGACATGAACAAACACACTTTCTTGACTGTCCTTTGCATTCTGTGAGAAAAGAAGAAAGTTTATAAATGAAAGCAAACGATGTGTGTGAATGGGGAAATAGCTGGCGAGCTGTTTGATGCATGTTTGTGCATGCGCCGTGAGCGGTTCTGGTACTTTTTGTGTCGCAGCTGCTCGCAGCGCCGCTTAAACAGTGTGAGACCCTCATGAGGGATGAGCAAAAAATCAAACACATGATAAATCCGTGCGAGCTCACGACTGCTGACCGGGAGCTGGTCACGCTCTCGTTACACCCTGTATACTACACAACGCTCAACTCAAAACCCGCCCCAATCTCGTAGATTCTCGCACGAGGGGAAAATTGGCTGAAAAAAGTGGAAAAAGTCGGACAGTTTACAGTTTACAGGCTTTAGGAGGCTTGAATTGTAGACAGGAGTGAAAGAAACCCCTCTTGGCTGGTTCCGGTCTTACCAGTCAGACAAACAATTTAGCGTCCACATCGATGACTGTTCCTCTCCATCTGTGTCGCTCCCCTGGGGCGTGCCTCAAGGTTCAATCCTGGGGCCACTTCTCTTCTCAGTTTACTTGCTACCACTGGGAATGATTTTAACAAAACTTGGAATGAGTTGCCACCTCTACGCCTACGACTGTCAGATTTATTTAGCTTTAAATAAACCAGACTCCACTCGCTTGCTCATTGACTGCCTCTCTGAAGTCAAAAGCTGGCTTTCAGCTAAATTCCCATGCCTCAATGACAAGACCGATGCTATTCTTTTTAACCCAACAAATCTGAGTCATTCACCTGGTGACCCCTCTCTCCCTTTCCTAAACATGAAACCCTGTGTGACTAGTTTGGGAGTAAAACTAGACTCTGATTTGTCCATGACCTTACAAATTAATGTTGCAGTCAAGTCCTGTTTTTTTTAACTGTGTGCTGCATTACTTAAAGTCCATTGTCAAGAGACTTCATCTGGAGTCTGTTATCACCTCACAACTGGACTATGCCAACTCAGTGCTCATTGGCATCAGTATGTCTCCTCTTTTTAGTGTCTCCAGACGTTCTCACATTACTCCCATTACTCCTTGACCTTTTACATTGGTTACCTGTTCAGGTACAACCCCTCTTATGTATCTGAACTGCTCAAACCTTACGTCCCTTCCAGATGTCTGACATCAGCAGATCACCTACTCCTGCGCATCCCGAAGATGCATTACAAAACCCGTGGGGAGCGGGCCTTGTCATTCGCTGCCCCCAATCTCTGGAATACACTCCCCCTCCATGTACGACACTAAGACCGTGCTGAAGGCCGATTTTTATCATTTAGCTTTCGGTCACTTTTAGACTGGTTGCCATTTGTGTTTTATTCTTTATTGCTTTCCCTGCTCACATTTTGTACCTTATTCATTGTATTTGTTGTTTTAGCCATTCATTGTTGTGATTCTTTTGACAAGATTTATTCTCATTTTTTTGGCTGTTGAATTCTGTCTTCCTGCCACCCTGTATGGATAAGCAGGTTCAGAAAATGGGTGAATGGATGGAATTCTGTCTTTTACTCTGGCGCTTTCCTGTTCCCTACTGTACAGCACTTTGGTCAGCTGTCATGCTGTTTGTTAATGTGCCTCATAAATAAACATTGTATGGTAACACGGTTAGTTTAATCTACATAAATAGATTTTAACAGACATTGTGCTACAGTTTACATTTTTACTATATTTTTTTATTTTCCATCTTTTAAACATTCTAATAATTATTTATGTCATTTTATCCATCGTTGATGCCGCTCGCTGAACACTGAACAGAGAGGGACCATAACTGTGCTTTTTATCCTTTCCTGTCTTCTTCAGAGTATTTAAGCGAGTTCTTCCTCTCCCTAATGGAAACTGGAATGCCATTGTGGACGACTGGTGTTGCCATCCCGACCCGTTTGCCAATAGGAAGCTGCTCCCCCGAGCGGAGGACTGTTTACTGGGTGACACCTTTGTCCTCTTAGCTCGTGACAGCAGCTGTGACCAGACTCTGACTGAGGAAGAGAGTCCCGCTGGAGCAATGGACAGTCAAGACACAAAGGTGAGGGAGTTGCAGATGGTAGTATCCTGTCGCAGTAAGCAATAAATGATTTAACCTCATGAACTCGTTAATTTCCGTTGGCTTACTTGTTTTCCTCGTGTGACTCTCTTTCTACCAAACACTTGTGCCTGTTTTCCTGTCTGAGCCTAGTGTTTATTATTTTTTGAATGGCAAATTAGTTTTGCAGAGACTCTATTCCATTAGATTTATTTAGTCATTTATTTATATATTTATTTATTATTGACTTTCAGTTCCAGTGGTAAATACAGCTTACAAGTGAATGTGTATTGATCTCTTAAGGAGCGTGCTGCACTTATTACTATTATTATAGTGGTTGAATATGATAATATCATTCATATCAATAATTTCTAGGACATTTTATCGTGCAGCAAAAGTTTTTATTTTTGTGACAGGTCCAGCTTTTAGGTTTGTTGTGTTTGAGACCAACAGCCATTGCTGTTGTGTGCAGCCATCCGCACAGACACACACTCCTCAGACAGCTGCATCGATACAGTCACACTCTTGTAGATGAGGATTGATCTGCACGTTCTTCCATTAGTCATTCAGCACACGGCCATAACTGGGTCTGAGAAAAACGCAGGAAAAATACCTGCTGTGTGTCTTCACCTTCTGTTCTACGTACATTCTTTTAACTGCTGTCCAAAAACACAAATATATATTTCTGTGATTTTATTGTGATCTTTATTCGTTTCCATGCTGTCGTTTGCACAGAAGCCATGTCGCCGTTTGACAAGGATCTCCTGCTCCAGCTGTTCATCAGAGCTTGGAGAGGCTATTGCACCTGGTAAACATCAGAGTCTGTTCAAATTAAAATACGCTTTTCTACAGTAGTAATACATTTCTGCTGACTCTGTTTTACAGCAACACTGAAACTATACATCACACAGGTGGTGGTGGAGCCAGTCGTGGGAGATCGACAGCCTGAAGCTTCACAGAACAGGTTCTTGTTCAGAGTTACTAATGGAGGCAATTTGGAGATTTAGTCCAAGGTTTTAAGGTTTCGTTCACTGAGAAACTGTAATCCTTTTTCATTCTGAGTTACAAATGCATGCTGAAGGTGGAAATAGTCTTCAACTCCTATTTCCTGCATTTGCCACAGGAAGAAACTATACACGAAAAAAGGTCAGGTCAGAAAAAGCCAGTCTCTTACAAGTCGCAGAGAAAATTACCGTAATTTCCGGATTATAGAGCGCACCTCAATATAAGCCGCACCAACAAAAAAAGGTTTTCTACACACACACGCCGCACTCAAATACAAGCCGTGGCGCAGCAGCCAAATGCAGGTCTCTGGCGCACAGCACATGTATGGCCATAACATAAGATAATTAGACAGAAAGATGCTACATGGAGGTTTTTCGTTGTTGTTTTATTTCAACAAAACAAATTTTAAACACAGGTGAATGTGCCTGTAAGTTTAAAAAAGAAAACAGCACTGATAGCATTCATATTTCTGGATGGTTATAAAGTAAAAACAGAACTGACACGTTATTACCGGTAATCTGCATGCATGTTTAGAAGAAAAGAACAGCGCTGACACAGCATTAATAAGCCCTGGATGATTAGAAAATAAAAACTGCACACAAAGTATGCCTGGTTAGTAAATAAAACACACTTGCCTACCAGGAAAATTTATTCCCTCTCATCTTCCTCTTGCGCACTAAAGCCATTAAAGTCCTCTTCTTCAGTGTCGGAGTTGAACAGCCTCAGAAGAGCGTCACATACCTTTTCTTAGGCGATGTCAGTGTCGCTGTCCATGTTGCTGTCATCATCCCCGGGTGAAGCTGGCTTGAATGAGTTGTTCCCGCTGCCGTCTCCAGCGCCGGACCATGGATTCATTCATGCCAAGCTTACGTGTGGCAGCACTGTTTCCCTCCTTTACTGCCAGATCGATGGCCTTCAACTTAAATGTGGCGACATATGAACTCATTCATGTATGAGGGGGGTATGGATTTGAAAAAAATTCTTCGTCGTGCCGGCTGTTTGCATGTGCTAAATTAAAATGAGCACTTTCTTCGATTTCCTCTTTTGACTTCCACCTGTTTCACTTTCTGCTAAAGCGCCCCCTGGCAGGTGAAGGGAAATCTTTATTAAAGCTGCACCTCATTATAAGCCGCACGGTTCAAAGCGTGGGAAAAAAGTAGCGGCTTATAGTCCGGAAAATACGGTAACATTCATGGACTCACCCACCTTGGCGAGAACAGCACGTCCCAGCTAGGAGAAGCTAACCGTTAGTAACTACACAATATGGCAGAACGGGCTTGGGTTATTTGTGGAGAAAAAAAACATCAATGATGTATTTTTTTCACCCAAGAAAGAAGAGTGATTGAAGGCAGCGAAAAAGCCAATCAGAGTTTTGATGTTCAATTATCATGAATATTAATGAGTTACTCTTCTTTCCACCGGACTCGAAAGCGTCGTGTAACGTAATAGCTACCTTTTATCCGCGAGCTCCCTTCCAACTGGGAGCGATTCTAATGCGAAACAGAAGCGAAAGCATTCCACACAGCTGATCCTTTGAGGTCACAAAATCAAGGGAGAATTGCAACACCACGCGTGATTTCAGAAGTCCACACAATAACAATCAATCAATCAAAGCTTTATTTATAAAGCGCCTTCCGCAACCCTGTCAGGAAGCCCAAAGCGCTGAACATGGTACAGTTGTAGGTAAATATATTGAATAAATCAAAAATAAAAGCAATTCAAATTACAAAATAGGTGAAACATTCTAGTACAGGACAAATGTGTAAAACAAGGGATAGAGTGAACCAATGAAAACTGTGAAATAAAATCAACATAAAAGAGGGCCAAAATCAAACATGTTCTGGAAACGCCAAGTCGAGGTGTGTTTTTAGGTGACTCTTAAAGACTGGCAGAGATGGGGGCAGCCTAACTGAGGGTGGCAACTGGTTCCAGAGTGATGGTGCTAGGACTGAGAAAGCCCGGTCCCTTCGAGTACAACACCTAGAATGAGGGACAGCGAGCAGGCCTTGGTCAGAGGAGCGCAGAGCGCGTGATGGGGAATGTCTGTTCAGGAGCGTGGCCAGATAGGGGGGAGCACCACCCTGGAAGAAATGATAAACAAAGACGAGGATTTTGAAATGTGAGCGATAGGAAATCGGAAGCCAGTGCAGGGAGGCCAGAACTGGACTGATGTGGTTCCGTTTCCTGGTCCCAGTCAGGAACCTGGCTTTCTGGCTTTCTGTGGTAAAAGCAGGAAATAGGAGTTGAAGACAAGCAAGGAGAAAGACAGCTGCATGTGTCCAAAAAGTGCTGTGGTTCATTTTTTATTTATTTTTTACATCGGCTACGGGCGTTTCACAGGAAATGCCAACTGCACGTCATAACTCTTATTTAGAAAGTTTCCAGATGCTTTACACTGATTTCATGTTTCACTTCCTGTCTGGCCAAATCTAAACTGTGGAGTTTGACTTCTTTTGGAAACGTAGCATAATGGGATGCGTCCAAAAACGTTACACTTAGCTGCTGGTGGAAAGTATCCTGTCCGCTGTAATGGCGGCTAACTGTCGTGTGGTACGTTTCACGGCCAGTTCGCACCGCTTTCACATCCAGTGAAAAGAAGTGGTAAGAGTCTAAATCCTGCCGTTTTCTGTCCCCACTCCTACAAACCTCTGCATCCTGAAACAGGAACACCAAAGCTTTTTCCCAAATAAAATTACTCACAAGGCATAAATTCATATACGAGACCACAGCTTATTTATAAAAAAAATTGAAAAAAAACTGAATGAAACCTTATCAGGGTTCTCTGTTAATTTAATTAATAAAATTAGACAAAACAATCAGTTCATGTTTGTCAAAATGCAGCCTTTTCCCAGATCATGGTGGTAAAATAGAACGTTTAATTAACTTATTAACAAGATTTGTTGCACAAATTAGGACTTATTAAGATAATGTAAATGTTTCCAGCTTTATTTATCGCATGGCTTTTTCTATGACATATTTGTTGCCTACACACAGATGAGAAACTAAAGAAAAGACGGTCTGGGAAAATGACAGTGTTTGTTTTATGCAGGTCTACCTTCTTGGAAAGGACTGTAGCAACCAGACTCCTGGAGCTGTCCAACTCTCTCTGCTCCTTCCACTTCTCAGTTCAGACGCCCGACGGGAGAGCCTTCTTATTGGTAAGGAGCGGGTTGTGAAGAGGAACAAAATCCACACACTAGGGCTGGACGATGATTCAGTAGTTCAATATATCTATCAATAGACATGTGGTGCGATGTATAAAAAATGTGTCGATAAAACTTCGATAAAAAAAGGAAACTGTTTTCATCATCACCTATCAGGTAGCAGCATACTAGACTCACTACTTACGCCTAACCAATAAAAACCACTGACTCGGGCGCGATACGTCACCAGGCCCTCCCCTCTCAAGCCAAAACAGAGCGTGAGGTAGCCGCAGCAAGATGGCTAGGGCTGCCACGATTAGTCGACTCGTCACGACGACGCCGACAAATAAAATAGAGCTGCTTTAATTTTTAAAAATGGTTGTCATCTCGCCTGCTGCGGCACGTTCGGCGTTTGCTTTCTGCCTTTCTGCTCAGCCGCCGCTTTAGCTCTAATGCGCATGCGCAGTGGTGGCATCCAGCTCAGCCTTCTGCTGCATCGCCATGCCGCCACAGCGCTTTCATAAGACACTTTTGCAGCAGTATTATGATGATTTGGTGGGATGGTGTCTTATGAAAACAGCTCATGATACATTTTTTGTTTGTGCCACAGCTTGAATTATTAGTTTTTGCTCATTGACTTAGTTATCTTGTTCTTAATTCAAGGTAGGAGGACCCACTTGAAAATAAGATGGTTCGTCTCAAATGGTAAATGGCCTGTATTTGATATAGTGCCTTCTAGAGTCCTTGAACCCCCCCCAAGGCGCTTTACAACACAATCAGTCATTCACCCATTCACATGTTGCCTGCTGGTGGTGGTCGGAAGGACCGGTGTCGCCAGTGCTCGGCAGCCTCGCCTCTGTCAGTGCGCCACAGGGCAGCTGTGGCTACACTGTAGCTCATCACCATCAGTGCGTGAATGTGTGTGTAAATGTAGTGTAAAGCACTTTGGAGTCCTCTGACTCTGAAAGGCGCTGTATAAGTGAGGGTTGTTTATCATTTACTTACTACATTTCGGGTTTAACAAAACTTCAACATGCAGAAAAGTTAACTTTTAAGACTTTAACTGGCGCTTTACCTGATTTTTACCATCTGCTTATTTGCCACACCAATAATTCCCAGGAACTGCTCTGGCTTCACAGCTGTGTTGTCAGCAGACAGTAGGACATAAACCTCCTCTCCGACACTCAGACTGGCAATAACAGTATAATCAATCTTGTGTGAAATTGAAATGAAAACGGAGCAGATTTAACCGTGAAAGATAGCTGATTAATTTTTTTGGTCTGATGAAAGAAAAAGTGCAGAAATGGAAAAACTGATACAAACCTGGAGTTACTGCTCCATTTAAAACAGACTCAACTCTTCTTTGTTTGCATAATTGACTGAATTTTTTTTTTCAACAGATCATAATGTTGTGCTGGTTTATTTCTGTTTTGGACAAATGACACGTCTGCTCCTCCTGCAGGTCTGGCTGCTGAACACCGACTCCATCGTAGCTTCAGTCCCAGGGGAGCGTGTCGGGGATGAGAGGTCCATCAGCCCCCCTGCTCTGCACAGTCCGTCACTCAGGGCCAGCAGAGCCCTGAAACTCCTCTACATCAGCTGCTCTAATGCTAGCACCCAGCAGAGAGAGTAAGTGAGGAGGCTTAAACCATCCTCCACTCACTCTTCAGTCGTTTTCCTCTCCCTAATTATGTATGACTGCTTTGTAAGTGAACAGATTTTAGTTGTCTAAAGAAAACTTTGCACAGAAAGCTTCTGCTCTGTCATTGTAATATATAATTGGCTAATTTTTGGGCTGTCTAAAGCCCTCTTAAAGCTGTTAACTCCATAAGACAATTTGAGTGGCGATGCAGAGTAGGGATGGAAAAACGACCTGTTTTACAATAAGGCTCCTCTGATAAATGGTTCATAAATAGCTTATAGATTAGTTATTAAATAATCTGCAACACTTTATAAGTCGTTAATAAGTGTTTTATATGCATTAAAGCTGTTATAGCAAGTTTGGAAAGCAAATTAGCTTAAAACATTTTTTTCATGCCCCTTAATGACGTTCTAACATAGTTTAGCTATAAATATATTGTGGAGCTAAAAAAATAAAATAAATAAGTGGTTCTCTCACTTTGGTCTATAAACCTCTGCCAATTACACGTTTCAGACCCAAAGCAACCATTGAACCATCCGTTTGTTGGTCTCACTGAACCCATGCACTTCCCTTGGCCCTCCATTCATTACACACTCATGTATTTAGTAGCAGAACACCACTGGTGTTAGAGGTTCGTCAGTCAATAACATAAGAGAAGGAGAAACAGCCGACTGCTACCACTACAACTTCAGGACAAACTACCAGAGTTTCAAAAAGAAAAACACCATTTGATGCCAAAGACAGCAAAAGATATCTTGTTTCCTCTGGCATCATGGGTTTCCTGCCCCGGTGGACATAAATCATGGGAAGATACCCAAGAGGGTGGGGTGAGTGTTCTGTGAGCATGTTAGCATTCAAAACCTAGCTTATTTTGTAGATTTGCTATAGCAGTTTAATTAAGGGCGAGAAAGAAATAATCTGTTCACCTATGGTTATTCTAGAGATGACATTTTAAACTAAGCTACTACCTTGTAAGCACAAATGTTTTTGCATATATCATTGTAATTTATCACTGGATTGTAAATATTCACTACAGAGAGCAGTATTGTAAAGTGTAAAACATGAAAAATTATTGGATTAATAAACATTTGTAACGGTAAGACTGAACCTTATCATAAACCGTATTTAGCACAAAGCGTTTCTAAACAAGCACTGCAACATTGACTAAAACTATAAAGCACCATTTTACTATTTGGTTGGCATTTATAAATGTTTATTAAACTTAATAAATTGTTCTTGTTTTACACATTACAATTAAACTCCCATTGATAGTTATAACACAGTGATGAAGTATATTATGTGCTAATAATTTTATCTTTCCATAGGCTTGTTGTGTTAACACTGAAGTAACTTGGTCTGAAATGTTTATTATAGCAACTTTAGAAGAACTAAGTAATAAGATTTGGCTCACAATTTGGCAAGAAACTGATCAGTTTAGTCTTTTTCTTGCCCTTAATCAATGCAAAATAAACTCTTATTAATGATTTATAGTGTTTACAGATGAATCGATTAAATTAAAGTACCTTATAAATACAGGCCATTTACCATATCTATCCACTTTATAAGGGGAGCCTTATTATTGAGCTGTACTGGATAAACTGATGTGAGTCAGTAGTAAAACATTCGGAGTTACCTTGACTTTATTGTTTTTACACCAACAGTTCGACCTTCTGCTCCTATAAGGTGCTCCTAGACAGCCTGTAATCTAATCCCAAACTGGGTTTTTGTTCCTTCTTTAATTGTCTTGATTTGTGTTTTGAAACGAGTAGAAGGATAATCTGTATTCAAGTGAGTGCAGACGTGTTTGGTGTGGCAAGCGTGTCGTCATCATAAAAATGTCTAGAGTGATTAAACCTATAGGGGCAGTAAGTGTCTACTCGATCAGCCCTTTTCTCAGAGCCTCCTGTGACACAGCAGCGTGGTTTCTCTTGATTACTGGATGTGAAATCAGCAGGCTATCATGTCTTTAAAGAGGCACATATTTATCGTTTGTGGCATAAAACACCTAAATCAGTTTATAAGCCAACGCAAGCAAAGAGAGAATCCCGGGTCTCAAGTGCTTCCAGTATTTTAGGCACGTGAAACGTGCAGTAGTTGCACGTGCCAACCTTCAGGAGTCTGAATGAATCACTTTTATTCTAATGTTCACAGCTTTCCCTGATCCCAAGTATTAATGAATTTCAAGCTAAGAAAGAGTGGCAGGTGTGTGTATTGGTCTTTTTTCTACAGCTACATTTCTTTTTTAGTTTTCTCTGACTATTCTAGTAAAGATTATTCAAATGTTTACAGTATGTTTTGATGGCTTGTGGGAAAATATTTTCATTAGAAATATTAAGTAAAAATGTTAAAAGAGGAAATTATTTATACCTAAGTCTCATTTTTAAAAAAATCTGTAAACCATGGTGTTCTAAAATCTAATATGTTGTGAAAAGGGTCGATGTTCATTCTTAAAAACATCGACTGAAGCTTGACCAAGTTTATGATTTTGGCCTCCCATGAAACTGACTTGGACACCCCTTCATTAGAGTAGTAGAGCTGGACAATATATAGAAAAAAAGCATATTGATTATAAAGTTCCTATTGATATATTAATATCAATAATTATAACGAAATGTAGAAAATATATTTTAAGTGCAGCCATTTTATATCATTACTTAATGATAAAAAAGTTGGTTGTGTTACCAGACTTGATTTTTAATTGCTTCTCTGCAAAAACTTCAGTTGATTGTTGTGTCTGTTTTTTGTCAGACTTGTAAAAACCAAAATATCGTCGTGCTGGTGAACTACCGCAACCTTTTAATGAGACTATTTCCTCCACCTCGCCTTGCTGCAACATTTTGCTGTCTGTTTTGGTTTGAGAGGGTAGAACTAGGTGATGGAGCATGTCTGGGTTTGTGTTTCCAATTGGTTGGCAGTAATAAGCTTCTCGATAGGCTATAATAGACCATATGTAGCTGTGGCTACATGGTAGCTCACCATCACCGGCAGTGTGTGAATGTGAGAGTGTATGAATAATGGAAAGTGCTTTGGGTGCCTTGAAAAGCACTATATATATCCAACCCATTATTATAACTATTATTTAAATGAAAGGAAACTTTAGTTTTTATTGACCCATTGTTTTCTGTTGCTCCATACGTCTATAGTGTGTATTGAGTGGAGGGCCCAGGGAAGTGCATGGGTTCAGTGAGACCAACAAACAGATGGTTCAGTGGTTGCTTTCGGTCTGAAACGTGTAATTAGCTGAGGTTTTTAGACATAGGTGAGAGAACCTGTTATTAATTTTTTTCATTTGTGTGTAGCATCACAGTATATTTATAGCTATACTATGTTAGAATGTTAAGAGGCTTAAAAATGTTTTGAGATCATTTGCTTTCCAAATTTGCTACAACAGCTTTAAATACTCACTCCTCCAATTAAACGTTGGCCCTTAATTCAGAGTTGAACTAATTGTTGACTCAAATTAAATGTTTAAGACTTAAAGGTCTTTGAAGGGCTACAGTACCATAAGCTACACTGATGACAACAACTTTTTAAAAAACAGAATCAACTAATCAGTCTGCAGAAGAGACATTACTGGGTCTCCTTAAACTCTTCAAATACAGCAAACAGAAGTACACCAGCTCTCTGCAGCTATCTGAAAAAGAATCCTGCACAGATACTAAACTGCTATTTTTATTTTGTCTCTACAAAAATAGGTTTAACTCATTTTAAATGTTTTATAAGTAATGGATGTGTGGTAAAGTCTGTGCAGGCATGCTCCTGAAATATGTGGGACTTCTAATGGTAAATGTTTGTCTGGAGCCATGTTTAATCAAATGCTTTTTATTTGTCAGAAGTAAAAGCTGTATTATTTTCTTTCTGTATTACAGGAAGGTTTATTTTACTACAGCGAGTTTCTGTGCTTTGTGATGCATTAGAGATGTGCAGATGGGCGTGTCGCTTGTTCTCTAAGTTCAGTGAGCAGCACCTCACTGATAAACCTTCCACCCTCATTACTCTCAACTGTCTGCACTCAGCGTTCTCCTCCTCTTTTTCCCTGCAGCCAGCAGGAATGAAAAGCTCAGTATGAGTAGTTATAAACGCCATTGATTTCAAATTGTTGTGTTTATACATTTTCATATTCTACTTTTAGGTTGCAGGTTCATCTGAAGTTGTGGCACTGGTGCAAATCTTGATAACACAAACACGACTTCCATCCTGCATTTGTTTGTGAGAGTCAGAGCAACCTGAAAACTCACAATTTCTTCTATTTGAAAAGTTTGGTGAAAAATAAGCACAAATTCCATCAAATGAATGAACTCGCTAAACAAAATGTGACCATCTTCCGTTGATGGAGGTCATTGGAACATTCACTTGTCCTTCCTCAGCTGGACCGTGGCTCTAAGCTATGTGCTTTCCCTGAGTCATTTTGAATGTAAACACAGTCAAAGTCATTAAGAGACATCATGGTTAAACCTCATGTATGTAATGTTCTTTTTCTCTAATTTAAGTAGTGTTTAAATGGAAGGTACAGTGGGGTGTAAACGTCTGGGCAGTCTTGTTAATCTTTTCCTGCATAAATTGTTCGTTGTTACGATAAAAAATTCAGTTAAACACATCATATAGGAGTCACACGGTGATATTTGAGAAGTGAAACGAGGTTTATAGGATTTACAGAAAGCGTGTAATAATTGTTTAAAAAATTGGGCTAATTCATTTAAGAAATATATACGATGGTGAAACTGGAGTTAACGTGTTAAAGTAGAGACGTTCACGCCCAGCCATGAGATAGTTTCATCTGACTTGGAACTTCTCGTTTGACATTTTCCTGACTTTTCGTTTTTGTTGTTATGTAATGTTAAAATCAGGGCAATGCATCTTGGTTGTAAAGGGTGACTGTATCTGCAGGGGATGTAGTTTTAATCAGAAGTGTAAGTCTGTGGTTCATACATAATCACTAAAGGCAGCTCTGTGTGTTCAGCACCAGCCGTTCTCTGTACTGAGACCT